TTATGCGGATGACATCATCATCTTCACCCGGCGGATGATGATGGGCTAGTCGAGCTTATGCACCTTCTGGAGCATTATAGCTCGGTTACCGGCCAGTTGTTTAGTATGCAGAAGAGCATCTTCACCCTATCATCCTCCAGCGCGGACAGGTGGGCTCAGCGGGTCCACAACATCACTGGCTTTGCCCGCGGCAACCATCCCATTACCTACCTTGGTGCCCCTTTATATAAGGGCAACCTCACGAGAGCGCTCTTTGCGGGCATCAGGCAGAGGATGATCGACAGGATTACTGGTTGGTCGCATAGACATCTTTCTTTTGGTGGTTGGCTTGCGCTGATCAAGAGCACCCTTATGTAATGCACCATTCGATTTATAGAAATCGTTGGAATATTCTATTTATCGAATATTATTTATAAGGTTATATTTATTAGTCGCTATCGGAGTACTCGATCGTTTTACTTTAAAAATGTTCGTCGTAGGCGATTCAGTTTAATCGCGTAACTCGACTATAATCTGTTTGAATATGGAATAATTGAGTTTATTATTTATTGTCTTTATTGTTATTATTATTATTATTATTATTATTATTATTATTATTATTATTATTATTATTATTAATAATATAATTGTCTAATGTGCCTAATTGATTAAATAGTATTATTATGTGTATTATTAATTAGTATTATTATGTGAATTATATATATATGTTTATTTCAGTTTTATTTTAATTATTATGCAAATATTATCGAGCCTTGACTATTAATTGTGAACCGAGACCCGCGAGCCCAGTCTTCTATTTCCTTTTCTTGATGGACAAGCTGTCAAACCCTAATGTTATACTATACCTATTATTTCCCTTTTCTTTCCACCGGGCGCAGCTTTTACTGAACTCTCCATCTCTCTCATCGAAATATAACAATAGAGAAGAGATTTTTCTCTCGCCATCCATCGATCTCTCTCGCTATCCCGTCACCATAAAACCGACCACCTCATATCTCTTTTCTCGCAAGACGCTGCCCTAGTTGCAGAAATCCGGCCACTCTGCTCCACCAGCGAGCTCTATTCCAATCGCTTCATCTCCATCACCGCCTCCTAATCGGCCCGACATCGTGAAGGTCCCCATCGGCAAGCCACCTTTGTCGCTAGCCACCGCAGAGACCCATCACCGATGCACTTCTCCATCACCATCAAGCTTCCTCCACCATCATCTTGAACGTGCTTCGTCGCGAGCCATCGCCGGTGCTCTATTCCAGCTCGTGAAATCAGTCACGGCGAACTCCTCCGGCGCGCAGGCCACCATCCCCGGTAGTCCACTTCCAGCATCCCGCGCGAATTGCAGACTCTGTTGCCTTCGTGTTTGAGCTTGAGGCAGCAGTCCACGCCGTCGGTCATCCCAACAGGATCTCCCGTACCCCCTATGTGCAAACCGTGCTCCACTGCTCGTGTAGCCTTCGATCAAAACCACCGGGAACTCGCAGCGCCCCTCACTCCCGAGCAGACTCCCAGACCTCCGTATACGCACCCCCACCCCGCAAGCCAATATCATCGACCCCAACGAGCGTACTCCCGGCCTCCGAATGACCCATATTGGTTATCGTTTTGTTCGTGTACTAATCCCGAGAACAGTACCGAAATGTGATTCTTTTTTCGTTTTTGTGTGTTTCGGGCTTTAGAAATATTTCATTGCTTAGAGTTATATAATATGTGTTTAAGTGCTCGTTTATGTATTGTAATTGCTGAACGTGTGGATTTCGAGCTAAATTCGTGCCTTAGATATGTGTTTGTGAGAATTTTGCTTATACAAATTCTTTTTGTTTTGTATTTTTTTTTATTTAGTACGTGTCGGGTTATTACTAAGCAGGCCAAGTTTATTGATGATGAATTGTCACATGTATTAATTAATCATTTTTGTATGTTTTTGGAAAATTTTATGACGCCATGTAGTGCTACGTAATGTCTTCATTGAACTGTGAAAAAGAAAGATGATCTATACTATTAATTTTATAAGTCCAATGGAAATTCAGATTTTATTTGATGTATTTAGCTCCCATACCAACTATTGCTTTGTATAGCTATCCATTGAATCTAAAATGAAAAGGGAAGAGCGAAGTAAATGAAAAAAAAAAACTAAACTATGTATAAGAAATGTGAATCAATCTTCAATTTCATTGATGATGAGCGAGAAATGTAAATTTGGATTTGGTGTTCACAAACTGAATGAGTATGTTCTGATGTGGCTCTGTAAATATTACTTTGCATGTGAAAATGGAAAACAAGAACTGGAAAGTTGATGTGAGTTCTCTGCTTGCAATCTTCTTATGACATAATTGTTGGTTAATGTCTTTTTTGAACCACAAGTTTGTTGAGTTGTTTGATCATTTGAAGGTTCTAACTTGAGCACAAACTTAAATCTTTTGTTTACCAGGCTGGGAGTAGAACAATTGATGTTGAACTCACGACTTTGTCAAGCACACACTATGTTGAACTGAGCCCTAGTGATGCAGGATTTCAGGATGCTCTGTGGTTAAAGAGATGATCTAGAAAATGGCCAAAAAAGACCAATCTAGAAAAATGGCACAAAAATAATGGGCCCACACCATCCCTGGATCGAGGGGAACAGGTGGACCCAATAACCCAGAGAAAGGTCAAGACCCGGACCGAGCTAGATAGGAATAAATAAGTTGAAGTTATTTTTCGCTCGATTACTCGTTCATTGTTTATTTTAAGTTTATTATTATAATTATTTTTGAAAATTTAATTCTTGTGAAAATTTAGCATATCTGCATAAGACTTAGAGATTCAGGTGTTTATCCTTTTTCACTATTTACTTATTTTTTTATTTATTTTTTTACGGATCCTTGTCTAAACTTCGAAAGTCCTTTTCGTTTTTATCATTTGTTTAAACTAATGCATTAGGTCATATCCGGGATTTCAAGGCATCAAATGTGCTACTGGATAACGAGTTCAGCACGATAATTGATCCGAGGCAAGATAAAGAGTACTCTCTTAGTGCGACTCGCAAAATGGCTAAATTAGCCAATGGTTGTTTGGTGAAAAGCGCAAGGGACCGGCCGGAGATGAGTAAGGTGGTTGAGACTTTGAAACAAATAGTTGGGTGTTCGGGGGAGGAAAGTACTTGATAAAGGATGAGGATGATAAGAAGATGGGGGTTTCGGAGTTGGCCAAGAGAAGAATGGCACAGTGGGCTAAGATTGGTGAGAATGTGGATGGTGTTAGTAGGAGGAGGTTTATCATCATGCATAGGCGAAAAGGGACTTGATTTTAGGATTTTATTTTATTTTTATTTATTTTCTTTTCTAGGGACTTGGCTTGGTTGTAGAGAGAATGTTATGGTTCAAATGGTTTCATTAGGACAATAACATTCGGGAATGCCTACTTTCTTCATGGACTGGCGAAAAACTTTCAATTCAACTTTTAGGTATTAGAGTCTGTTAGAACTACTTTGCCAACCCCTCCTTCACACTTGGTTTTAGTAAGGACTATATATAAATAGACTGAGTAAACGTTTAATTGAATAACAATAGTAATCGAAAGAAATGGCACCACAAGAACTTTTTAGAAGCCAAAATTCTCTCCATTCCTCAAAAGATTGATATTTTACTTGTATTTCTATAAATTTCGGAAGCACCCAACAATTTTCAGAATGCAGGCCTACAATGACCATCTTAGATCGTAGACAAATCTTAAAGTGTTGTGGAAGAGGAAGACAATTCTTACATCAAAGTTCGTGTGATCTCAATATAAAGATGGGGATAGTGTTGGTCCCTAGGTCCAGGAAATGCTTGCTACATCCCCAAAAGCCGTCACCTAAAATCGAAATAGTGTTTTTGTCCTCAGACACTTCGAATTTGGAACAACAATTTATTGAACCAAAAACAGGTTTCTTGACAAGTAATAGGTTTCTTGGAACAAGAAACATGTCTCACATACAAAAAACTTATTTCTTGAACTATTTTTTGTTCAAAAATTGTTTTCTTAAGAAACATAATCAGGAAACAAGAAATTGTTCAAGAAATTGTTTCTCGTTCAGTTTCTTGAACAAGAAAACGGAAATTTTTTGCATATTGTAATTTTAAGAGGTCCACATCAAGTAACGTAATTGACCTTTATACACAATATTCTCATGTTTGCGTGTTAGCATTCATTTTGATACATCATGTAATACCAGTAGTCAAAATTGGATCATTAATATTATTTTTCTTTAATAGTTTCTAGTTTATTAAAAACAAAATATTTTAAATATAAAAAAAAAAAACAGAAATATGTCAAGAAACAACAAAGCAGAAGTTTCAAGAAAGAGGTTTTTTCTTGAACAAGTAACAAGTTTCTTGAACAAGAGACAAGTTTCCTATACAACAGACAAGTTTCTAGAGCAACAGACAGGTTTCTTAAGCAAGAAACTTGTCTGTTGACAAAAAACCTGTCTGAAACCTGTTTATTGAACAAGAAACACGTGTCTTGTTCAAGAAACTTGTCTCTTAAACAAGAAACATGTGTCTTGTTCAAGAAACTTGTTTCTTGTTCAAGAAACCAGTTTCTTGAAATCAAGAAACATGTTTCTTGAACAAGAAACAGTGTTCAAGAAACAGGTTTCCTGAACAAGACAACTGCTTCTTGAACAAGCGAGAGGTTTCTTGAACAAGAAATAGGTTTCTTGAATAGGAAGCGAGTTTCTTGTTCAAGAAACTTATGATTAATACGATTCAACGTCAAAATAGAAGCTTATGATTAATACGAAGGTTCAATGTCAAAATCCGAGTGCAAAACGAATCTGAAAATAACAATCTTGGAGTTTTTCACACTCAAAGATGAGTTCCTATCAAAAACTAAGAGAAAAATATGTTCTGTAGTTCAAAAGTGCGAACAACATTCAAAACAAAACCTAGGATAGAACATAATCAAAGCATAGTGAAAAGTCACTGTGGACCTTCGAATATGGTGGTGGCGGAGGGGGGTAGGGTTGACTGGCTCCTGGAATTTCAGTTTATGACTCGTCTCACCTGGTTTCCCTGATATGCATTTGTAATATTTTCATCAAGAAGAGTCAACAACAATCTGTTCAGCTCATTCTGCTCAACCATGTCTAACAGCTGCATTGTATACAAACAATCCACCAGTAAACAAAAGGCTTAAAGAAGATAGCACCAATAATATAGATTATAGTAATATTAGTAATGATATTGAAGTAGCATACAGTTGCCTTGACATCATCTGATGTTAAAAGCTTTATCAAGCTTTTCCTTGCTGTTACAAGGTCGGATTGCATCTTATCATATGCTTCTGCAAGAGAACAATAAAGTAAAAGGTTGACCAAATAGTCAAACACTACTTTTGCATAATTATTTGCTATATTCATCGACCTACTCCTTCCTGCAGGGCTTTTTCCAAGAGTTTCCAGCTCGATTACTCTGTCTTCCATATCCTATAGACAACAATCATTTTCACATGCTTTTAGTGATATGTGCTCGTTCATCAGATGGGAAAACACACGTTGAGAATATAATAACGAACCTGGGTCTTGGACACAGCAAACCTTAGTTTTCCTAGCTCAATTTTCAGATGAGAGAAAAAACCCTCATTCAATCTGCATCGGGATATCATGAGTTCTCTCTTTTGAACAAAAAAATAAAAGGCGAAATATGATATTGATCATTAACTAATTGTAACAGTATGACAGCTATTGTAATACGCAAGGCTGATATCAATAGCTAGAGTAGTTTAAGTTCTGCAAAATTAAAGTGTTGCAGTGATGAGCATTTTAGGTGTCCATTATCATGTAATTCTATGAGGTAACAAATTAATTCTGCAGAAGAGGTTTGTACTAGTTATTTTGGAATGACTTTGTTGTTAGATATGCAGTTTTATAAGTGGCTAAATGTTTCAGTCATTTAAGGCAATGTTCCCAATAACAAAACCATTCCACTCGATTATTAACATTTTATTATAACCATAACCCTTTCAACAAACACATTGTTTTATTTCACATCCATCCTGCCCACTGCATTACCCTTGGCACACTTACAACACGTAGAAGATTTGAGAAAAAAATATATGCTGCAATTACATAAGAACATGCGAAGGAAATGTTAGACAAACATATCACTATAGTTAGTAATCAAGCTAACAAATTGATAAGCCCCAATTATTTCTGAAAGGAAAGGAAGCATGGCCCAGAAAAAGAAACTAAAGTCTGTTGGAGCATTCAACATGACCTTTGGAAAGTTCCAAACTAAGGTTTGAGTGTAATTGAAAATTATCCTCTTAAAAATAGCCAGACCCGCAAAACCTCAAAAAATGAAGTACAAATAGCACTGGGATAACAGAATTACAATATTAGACTGGACATTAGGCTATTTCAGTTTCAAGTTATAATGTCTATCTCATACAAAATAGATGGCTGATCTTTATATTTCTTGGACGGGACAACCTAAAAGGACTACATATAAAAGAGAAAGATTCGGGAACCATACTAAACAATTTTATCAGCTTGCTGGAACTTTGTTAGTGATAACATACAAGAATCATTTCATTCAATAGGCTTGAAATACAGTAATTCACTGATCTCGAGTGACTTAGCAGCTTATAACATTCAAGGAAAAGTAAAAAAAAAAAAAAAGCACATGAAAAATGATTCTGTAAACTATTGCAATGAAGCACGCATAAAACCAAGAAACTGATCGAGGCCTTAATCGTGCAATCTCAAACTCAATCTCCTGAGCCTCTGTATCTAACAAATACTCGACCAATCCCTCCTTAGAATCCGGTATCACCCGAGACTAACATCGAATAATAGAAAAAGAAAAAAGAAAAAAAAAAAAAAACAAAGAAACAGTAGATGAACATCCCTCCAAGATACACAACAACACAAATGCCACAACTGAGAGCCTCATAGAAACAAAACAACCCGGCAAGAAAACTAAACAATCAAGACAACAATTCACACCAGCAAGACAATAATTCATAGCATTTATAACTAAAATAGCAGTTTTCACAAGTCCCCACCTCGCGAATGGCTTTCCTGCGCTCCTTCTCCTCTCTTACCTGACGCTCGAAAGCTTCTCGTGCATCGGCATCCTTCTCAAGGCGCTTGTTGAACTCGAGCCTCGTTATGTGCCCGGCTTTTGGTGCTCCCAGGATATGCCCTTCGGGTCCTTCCTTCACGCACCAAACCGAATTTCAGCAAAAACCATACACACACATACACACACACACACACACAAGCCGCTGTTAAATGAGTAAAAGACCGAACATTTTACAGCGCGTCCGTACTTACCCATCCTGAAAATACAAATATTAACTAAAAAACCCTAAAAGCATTAATTGAACTCAAAATACAACTTTTAACTAAAAACCATAAAAATTCTGAAATAAAGGCCAAAAACCCTAAATCAGACCAAACTCTTTTTTCGCCAGAGGACAACGAGAGAAAGAGAGTACCGTGAAATTCTCCTAGAATGAGAGACTCGCCGAGAATGAGAACCCTTTTTTCGCCGACGAGGCTGAGAATTCGAGATAGAGAGCGCCGACGAGGCCGAGAATGAGAGATAGAGAGAGAGTACACACCGATAGAGAAAGTCGACGAAGCCGAGAAGACAGAGAGAGTACTCGCCGAGAAATTCTTCGAGGTTACGGAGATAGAGAGTTTCGTCGAGGTTAGAGAGTTCAAAAAAAAGGGGGAAATGAAGATGGAGAAAAAAAGAGGGAAAATGGTGAAAAAATGAAAATGGGAAAAAGATAATAAAATGGTGTGTAAGAGCAATTATGTCTTTTCACCTGTTAAAATGGCTATATTTCATTTTTCTTATAAAGTTGGCTAGATTTCATTTTTTGTTTTGTTGAAGTGCTATAAAGCACCATTACCACTAAAAAATATATATTTGGTGTTTTAGGTGATAGGGAAATAATTAAATTATAAGTAGGGCTAATATTTTTTGACTGAAAACTGAAAACCGAATCTAATTGAACCGAACTAATGAGAGAATAAATCAAACCGTACCAACTCATTTATATCGTCACTGATTTGTCATCAGTTCGGTGTCCGTTCCAAACCATAAAGTTTCGATTTTACGAAACCGAACCGATAAAGAATTAAAAATAAGAAGAATGTGGTGAATGAATATTGTTGGTATTATTGATGGATGAACGTTGGAATGTTGCTATTTTTGGGTTGTTGGACTTTAATCATGTTGAAACATGTTGGATGAATATGGGACTTAATCAAGTTGCATTATTATTGCTGAATTTCAGTTTTTTGATTATCTCGGTAACCAAACATTCGGTTACCGATTACAATCGATTCGATAATGGTTTCATATTTTGTTGTTACCGAAATAATGTCATCGGTTCGGTTATACCAACCCTAATTATAACTAAATCTTGTAGCTTCACCCTTTTATTTTTAATTGTAGGTAACACAATGTATAATGGATATTGTTATGCAAATTGAGAGTGATAACTATGGACCAATAGGAAGCAAGAAGACCGAGGGTTTTCAGTTTGCTTCGGCTGAGTCGGTCTTAAATTGTTGTTCGACCTTTGGGGGCGCAACAGAAGAGCGAGTCGGGTTTTGTATCTTGTAATTCGTTGAAGTCGTACTTCTCTTAGTGTAACGCCCCAAAGATTTTTAAAGACAATTCCGGACTTATCCAAAAATCTTGTTTTAAAATTTCGAAAACCATTTATCGATTCATAAAACATTTGGCGTTACTTGAGAACTCTCCAAAGTTAAACACATAATCAGCATAAGGGAAACGATAATATTCAGCATAATTCAAGTTCCAAGACTAGATTTCAACATATCTAGCAATAGGATTGTCAACATAATCCAAACTGATAATAATATTCCACATGGTTCCACAGTTCAACCAATCCCGAAAGCAATAGGGATGAATAACAAAGTCTGATAATCTCAACATAAATATCAAAGCATGCGGAAGCAATAAGAAGCATTAATAATGTTTGACCACCCACTCGTCTTTAGTCTCGTCATGCTCCACACGTGCTTAACCTGCATCAATGAAGAGCAGGTGGGGATGAGCACAAATATAAACGAGGTGCTCACCACTATGCATAATATATTGGTAAGAAGCCTATACTAGAGTCATATGCAAGTACATGGTCAAAAGACATATCACACCACTCTCCTACTCATCACTATACTCATGTGCACACCTATCAAAAGCCGCCAGGGGTAAGCCCAAACTCGTCAGCGGGAGTACAGTCGTGCCGAGGTTCAACATCAACGGTCACGGCCCATCAACTAGGCTAAAGTGAGTCTACCTATCACAAGGTTGGAGATCGCCCACCACTAGGCACCGTCTCATGACTCACACATACATTCATAGAACACAAAGTATAAAAATCTTACCTCAAATATAGCATAGCAAATTTTAGATTAAAACCCACCTGGAAATCGGGGTAGAGTATCACACAAAAGCAAGCACGTAGATCGAGGGCTCGACTTCTCAAACACCTACATTTAAGCGAGATAATATATAAATAATCTATCTCACTACTCGAATTTAACACAAAACCCATACTTAATAAAAATTTAGGCTTAAGGGTCAAAATCGGATTTTTCGTGGACTTGGAACTCTCTCATTTTTGAAAAATATGACTCGGAGGACAAAATTGAAGTTTCGAGACTTAAAATAATTTTTCCAAAATTTTATTATTTTTAAAGATATTTTTTTAAAATTGAAATCGGTATGAAAAACGAGCTTCGGAACACAAAATTGGCTTAAAAATACGAATTGGGTTAATATGATAAAACTGGGCCAATAATTTGCTAAGGAACTGGGCCAACACACTAATTGCCGCGGATCTGGGCCTGTGTTGTGCGGTCATTGGGCCTGGCCCAACAACCACAAGGGCTAAAGGCACTCGGGCCTCCACTGGGCCGGGACGCGGGCTCGCGGGCTGGAGTTGCTGTGAGAGAGACGGGCCGCGCGCGGGCTGGAATCGGGCCCTATGGCCCGCGCGCTGAAGAACCCTTATATATATAAAAAAAATGAAGAACCCTTATATATATAAAAAAAATGAAACTTTTGACAAGGGCAGGATCGAACCCGCGACCACGCTGGGAGAAGACAGCGCCGCGCGCCACCTCGCTACGCAAGGTCTTGCGACTTGAAACTAAACATTGAGGTACAAAAATTCAAATAAGAGCCTGGGCTTTGACAAAAGAACAGAGCTGCAATTTTGAGAGCAACTGACAGCAGATCTTTCAAAACTGCATTTTCAGATTTCGCAGCTAAGTTTTAGCAGAAAATTTAAACTCGACAACAATACTACCAACAACACCCGTGTCGAGAATTTAAAACGTCTACGAAAACAACACATTTACAAGATTTGAAAATTGTTTAAAGCCGATTTAAATGGTCGAGAGTCGAAACGACAATACGTGGTTTTAAAACGGACAACGCAATGTACGGTAAAGTTTGAAATGGCAACACGAGACTCCAAACCAACCTAATAACACAGCAGCACAACACAATCCCCTTTAATGAATTCGAGAGTTCCAGTCCTACGACTAATATCCGAAACGCAAATACGACAACAAAATGAACCGAACACAAATACGATAATCAGACCAACGAATAATTCACGAACATAATAGCACGAAGATTATAACAGAAAAGTTCGAAAGAGATAACGAACAACAATGAAAGGTGACTCGGGAATATAATGGCAAGACTCCGAAACAACGAATCGGGACTCCGAAACAACAACTCGGGGCTTCAAAACTCACGAGCAGGTTACAGCAACAAACAGAGTTTGAAACATACGAACATGAGTTCATTAATTCATACCAAATTCTCGACTGTTATGAATCGGAATTAAACAGCAAGCAGCAAGTCTCACTCCAAGAACATGATAAATCTAACGACACTACTCGAGCACGAAATTAGAACGAGGATGTTCGAAATAGAATACCCGTCTTCGGGAATTAGCGAGAAATCGGAAAATCAGATCGGTGTGGAGTGAATCGCGCAAACGGCCCTCAGAAGCTCGATGAACAACTCGACAGACGGACCTCGAAGCTCCCCGTAAGTGCTGCTCGCGAAATGAATTGCTGAGGGTCGGCGACGGCGGAACGCTGCCTGGTGCTGCCGGAATTAATGGTGACGATGGTACTCGGGGATAATACTGGCGAAAGGGGTGGACTCCTCTGATGAGAGTGGAAATCGCCTTGGACTAGATATAAGGGATAAGCGGCCGATTATCGAGCGATCGAGGCCAGGAGATTTCACAAGAAAATCGCAACGGCAACGAGGGGGATGGACCAGGTCGGTTCCGAAGATAAGGAGAAGAAGAAGGAGAGATCGGTTACGGGGAAGGAGATGGTTTTGCTGGCAATTCAATTAGGATCCAAAATAAACTCCTAATTGGGCCCAAAATTAATACATCATCTTGGGCCAAAGACATTACTCAGCTGGGCCATTACATAAACTTTATTTGGTCTGGAAATAAAATGACAAAAGGCCAAAGAATTAAATCGTTTCGGGCCGAAATAAAATGTACGCGGTACTAGGAATTTCCGATCGATTCGATTAGACGACGAGGGACAAATAAAATAAATTAAACCAGACATAATGGATATAAACACATAATATTTAAAATAATAACATTAATAATAAAAATACGCATTGAGACAAAATAATTACAATTTGACAAATAAATATATATATATATATATAAATAGACATTCATCTATATAATAGTGTTAATAATAATAATAATAATAATAATAATAATAATAATAATAATAATAATAATAATAATAATAATAAGGGGCACAAATGATAAAAAAAAATGAATAATAACACCAAATAATCCAAAATCGAACGGGGTATTACACTTAGCCTACAAAATTGCAGCAAACAATGTCGAAAACTGTCACAGCAAAAACCAAGAAAAAAAAAAAATCCAGTCAATAGAGAAAGACATGAATAGCGACTTGAGTAACCGGGACTTGTCTCTTCATTCGGCTAACTAAATTAACTGTTTGTTCACTATTTGTTAAATAAGTGTTTGGTAGTTTAATTATTTTTTTAGAAAGTGTTTGGTAGATCGTGAAAATTTAATAGCTATTGTATATCTTTTTTTCTCTTCCTAAAACACCCTTCTTGAGCTCTTTCATAATTAGAGTTTTAGTTTAAAAGGCCGATCAAATAAAGTCATTAACATGCTCACAATTTGATCCATCAATCTCCTAGTTTCAAATCAATAGTTTTGTATAAATCAACTAACAAACAAAATTCATCCTATTCTTTCTTAATTTGATTCTTTATTTTTTATCTTTATATTTCTCCCGCCATTTAAAACGTCTAAAAGATCTCAAATAATACCCATGTAATTTAGTGTTAATGGTTGGTTTCTAGCAATCCTTTCAAATTCACATGAATAAATAAAATCTCACAATCCTATTAAATTTTTGGATTATTCTTTTACGAAATCATCTATCCTCAATTCTCATGCGAGCATAAGCATACAATTTCTCTTCTTTCGATTCTAAAAATTGTTTAACAAAAATAGAAGATGATTAATCGACTAATCATTTAGAATAAAAAACTTAACCCGAAAGAACAATATCCAATTCAACCCAATTGCAAAATTGAAATGTCATTCTTCAATTATATTTAACTTCCAAGCACAAATTTATGAATCCTATTTAAAAAAACAAAAACAATTCAAGCCAGATTATCGAGACCAAACAAGAATATTTTATCCCCTTATTAGGAATTAGCCACTCATATGGAATTCAACAAAAGCATCTCAACAACCCAAACATTCATATTCAAGGATTAAAAGGAAGATTCACGATTCATAGAAAACCGAGTGTTGAATTCGATAACCAAACTTAATTCCACAAAATTAAAGAAGAAATCCAAGACAAAAACCAAGACGAAATATGAAGTTTCATACTACGGTGGAAAACTGGAAAAAAAACGAGTTTTGGGATCATGAAATAGTGATCGAACATGGCAAATAAACTGGCCCAGCAGGAAGTCTCGTTGCTGGATCTTCTTAAATCTCATCTCAGGATCTTGCACCTGAAATAATATTTTCAATTAGATAAGACTGAAATTCACTAGATTGATATTTTCTCCCTAGAAATTAAAATACTCCCACTGATATTACATCACAAACCTGAAGGCCTCAAAAGCCAGATCTGGTATAGAATCATCCGGAAACCGTCATATTCCGTGGATTTGCCCCAATCCATGAAGAAGTGCGTCTGAACCTACAAATAAAAAATTAATTGTCAGAACTAAAATTGAAATATTTAGTTAATTTGCAACATTTTACCTTTGTCAAGTTCGCATGCAACATAGTGTATGCTGCAGCCTTTTCTTCTAAGATTTTCTTCAGCTGATAAATATCCCTCTCCTTCACAATGACAGCAAACTTGCTCCAATCCAAAATGTTGTGGAAAGGCAAGACAATGCCATCTTCCACGATTGCTATAAAATAAAATTTCAAAGTCAAGTTCTCTTTCAACAGAAAAAACAAAATTAAAAAAAGTTGAAAATGAACTTACCAGGTACACAGCCATTAAGAATAGCTGTCGTTATGCAGGCATTCGGATTAGGCGACCCCGCAACACACAGACAGAATTTGGCTTTTCTCATTTTGGGACCCCTTTCCCTCGCCAATATTCTCGCCTTTGTGATATCCAAATCCTGGACGCCCGACCATCGTTGTACTAGCACCTTGCGGGTCTTGGAGTTGACAAGCCCTTCCCAGTACGCAAGAGTAGTCCTGTGTATTGTAATCTATTACTATATAATACGACTAAGAAAAATTATTCAAAAAACACTAAAAAAATTATTCGTTTTTCCGCTTCATATTCCCGCTTTTGTAACTTGAAAAAAATTATTTCATTTTTCTATTTTTGTAATATTCCTACCTGTTTTGTTTTAAAAACAAAAAATGTATATGCTTTGGGATTTATATGATTTTAGAATTAATATTTGATATCCGAGAATATCTCAACTTGTGAAACCAAATTGATTTGTAATTTGAATTTATAACTAATTTACTTTATCTGACCAAATTAATTTGCTCACGGGTCTAATTATAAAATGCTTGATCAAGTTAAATTATAAATATTTTTTATAACTTAATAGCTTTTTTATTTTTTATTTTTTTTCTTATATAACATATCCAATTAAGTATCTTTATACATTCTTAGATTTGACATTCATATTTATATATATAAAATAAATATGAATATATATATATACCTTTATAAATATAAATTAAAATACAACTTTTAAAAGTATTTAAATTTGTAAAATATTTTTTATATTAATTATTAATTATATAAATCTATTACTATATAATACAGTTAAGAAAAACTATTCAAACAATTCGAAAAGATAATTCGTTTTCCCGCTTGTTTAAAGTCGTTTTCCCACTTTTGTTTGAATTTTTTTTGAAAAAATGGAAATAAAATCGTCCTAATAAATAAAGGAATATGCTATCAGTTTACCTCTTCTTCAAATTATTCTCTCGATAGGGTGCTAAGAAATCCGGCAAGGCACAAGGGGCAGATATATCCTCTGTTTTGCTAAAATTTGACCACCGATTGACTGAACAAACCACTCGGATTGTTTTTTCGAGCATCGGCACTCGTCCAGTAGTTATCATGTCCCCACTAGAACAGGGGACTATGATATGGTCCGCCCCATGAAACCTATCCCAGTATGGATAACTAAGACTGATTTGTCTCACATATTTCGTTAGAGTAGATTCCACATCGGCATCGGATCGCTTCTCAAATACGAACGAAATAAAAAAAAAAAAAAAAAAAAAAAAAAAAAAAAAAAAAAAAAAAAAACATAAAACAATTAGCTTCAAATCAAACTTATTGTTGGTCCATAAGTAAATCGGTGAGACAATCGACACTTTATTAATAAACAAAAAATTTTAAAATATGATGCAAGAACTAATAAAAGTCGTCTTCAAGGCACAAAATGACAAGGAATATATCCTAACCTATGATTTTAGACTTCACCACGCCTTAAAATACACACTAATTTCATTCAAGATAAAAACATAAATATAATTACACCAACGGATACATAATCTCAACAGTCGTCCAAAAAACAAATGAAATACCTAACAAACCATTCCAAACTAGCAAACCATACCATACAAGACAAAGACGTATTATAGATTCAGCAAAACTACCACATGAGTGGAGTAGGTCACACTTTAACGTTGTTCCTAGGTGTGAACTGCTCCTTAATAATACATGTGAAACAATCAACGTCAATATCCTTGAAGTCAAAGAACAACTAATTCTTTCAATGCTTGTGTGGAGAATAGGGTATTGATGAAGAGAATGCAGGAGGAGAACGGGGATAGATGTGCCAAAAAATGGAATTTTTCATTGTGTCTCAAGATCCAGGAAATTACAGACGACCATTTTGATTTTGATTATCTTGTAGATTGCATCCCCTAAAATCTGATGAGTACAAATTTCAAGTTGAATGTGAAAGGTGATCAATATAAGGTGGATCTAAGGGCACAATACAAACTTGTGGTTGTAGAAAGTGGTGGTTGTAGAAAGTGGTAGTTGTCTAGAATGCCTTTTGTATATGCAGTCAAATGTTAATCATCTACAAGGCTTGACCATTAAAGATTTTGGCACCATACAAGGAGGTATATTAGCCGGCATTAATGCTTATCAATGGAAGGAAAGAATGAGCACTAAATGTTGGAAGAACAGTACGAATACTAGAAAAAAGCAAAGAGAACTAATGAGGTTGTTCCTACTCGGAGAAAGAGGTCAAGGGGTAAACCTAGAATTGTGACCAAGGAAAAAATACCATGCAACAAATGATGCAACTTAAAATGCCACGTGGATGGTCACAACAAGAAAAGAAGTCCTCACCAGAATAGCAAAAGGTAATTTTCCAATAAATTATTGAACCCTATTTGTTTAACTTTAATCAAAATGCATTTTTCTTAAGTATGTTGATGTAATTTCAGAGTATAAAGAGCATTGACTTCAAAATTGGTATGGGGAAATTGTTATCTTCACAATCTAATTGGACAGAATTTGCAATTTAGTCGAAAAAATGTAATGAGGAAAAGAAAGTTATACGGATTTCAGTTTCACTCGCAAGCGATGAATTCAAGAATGAACCCATAAACCGAAATAAACTCATATACAAATTAAAAATAAGGGAGATTGAGAGAGAGAGAGAGGGTGAAAGATTCACAGTAAAAGAAAGAATCGACCCACAATAAGCTATAGACGGCAGAAACAAAGACAGGATATGCAAAAAAAGCTACCTCCGACTCAAACTCTAAGCCTAATTATTTCTTTTGCATCTATAAAACCAGCTGACGACACTTTACCAATCAAGTAAACAGTAAAAGAAATGTCTACGCAAATCTAAGTAAGAAGTAGAGAGAACCTGACGGACAGAGTGGAAGAGGAAGGGCACCAAAAAGAAGTCTGCTTCATCTGGGTCCAGTGTAGAAAATGCCGAACCTCGAAGGTTTTTTATAATGTAGTCGGGCAGGATACAATTCCCGGCAATTTTCGAAGTAAATGTTGCAATGTCCGGGTCGGGGTAGATGAAGATTTTCAGATTTTTGATCTCCGTGTAGTCCGGAAACTCTACAGCCCCTTTGTCCCTCAAAGCATACCACCAACACCAGGCAATGAAAATTGCAGCTGACGCAACAACCAGGTAAAAAGGTGTCCAATTTCTGCCTTTAATGGTACACAAGTCAAAAAAAATCAAAAATGAAAAGAAAACAAGTAAAAAAGAAAATTAATAAGAACACTAATACCTGGTGTTAGGGCTGGCCGGATATTGTGAGAATCCTGAAAAAAAAAAAGGTTAAGGAAAACTAAACTAGGGTTTCTAAACTACTAAGAAAAATTCCATTTTGGTTACTGCAATCTACCAGGTAACATATTGCGGTTATTAAGAAAAATCTTATACCGGCTGTTTGGGAGTCTTGGTACGCCGATTCTTTGGGGCCATTGTTAACCTGTCTCGATTTTCCCTGAGAGCAGGAGGAGGACGATGTACCATAAAAATCCAATCAAATAAAATACACGGGCACAATTTCAACACAGGAATCTAATCAAGCTTACAGGTCGACTAACCTGGTAATCGCGTCGGGAGCACTGATGAGAGCCGAAACCTTCTGGGTGGGTAGACAAAAGTGAAGAGAGATTTATCATTTATGGTGTATTCGCCGTTATTGGGCTTGGGGGCCTTGGGCCTTAATTGACGCCCCATACTTTCTTTTTTTAAAAAAAAAAAAAAAAAAATTGGATTGGCCCCGCGGGTTGGCCTGCAGCCCGCTTGTTTAGCCCTCAGACTAGTAGGTTTGGGCCTAATTTAAACGGGCAGGCATTAAAGTGTCCTAACCCTGTTTTTTTTTTGGGCTAAATGTGTCCGACCCATTGCGTCAAGGACAATTCAGGGCGTGATTGGATATGAATCGAGCCGGTTTTGATTGGATTTTGTTGGTTAGAGTGATTTAATCTGAATAAAGTTGATTGAGTGGATTATTTTGAGTTTGTAATTAAATAGTAGTTATAATGTAATGATTAAAGTTGATGGTGATATAAAAGTAAGAGAGATGTTATTGGAAGTATAGATAATTAAAATTATGTGAGTGAATGAATAGTGATTAAAGTTTATTTAGTGTGTGAGGACGACTGACTGGTATTACTTAATTATATTGACAATATTGAGCGGTTAGCTATTAGTTGTTAACGGATTGCATTAATTGTTTTGACCAGCGGATTACATTAGCTTTGACCAATTGACTATGTTAGCAGTTTGTAAAAAGTATTTGATAAAATTAGTTATTTTAATTAGGAGTTAACATGTAAAATCACTTATAAGAACATCAACATACTCTATCATTCTAATTTATGTTGAATAATTATTTATGAAATAGAAATAATTAATATTTTATAAATATTTATTAATGTAATTTAAATATAATAAAAAAAATAACAAAGCCAATAACAGGTCCACGTCATATAAACAAAGCAAATAAAAATTCATCACAAATTTAAAATCTTTATATATTGAAAGAGGAAGGTAAAAAAATCATTTGAGGAAAGTTTAAGAAAATTGGTCGAAAAAGGCTTTGACTTCCCATTTGTGGAAAGTCTTTTAAAAATTCGAAAAAATAATAAACTTTCTATTGCTTTTCTTTTTGTTTTAAATCATACCTAATTTTATCTCCTATTTTCACGCCATTTTGTTTGGTATAGATTGGTGGAAAGACATTTAAATATCACGTGTTCGGTAATTATCCTAACAAATTCATTCCGTAAAATCGGATGGGATAAACATGTAGACATATACACAGTGTATAAAAGAGTATTCATTCATACCCTTTTTCATTCATCTCATCAAAATGCGAACGACCTCAAAATAATAACACAGAGAAAATATTATGACACCCTTCTTTAATACAATCGACGCCGTCAACAGATCCAACAAACCTTTTTTTAAGTTGAGAGTAGTCCTACTGATGGAAACTCACGATGATCCGGAACATCCAAACGCTTTTCATATCTTGTTTTATGATGAAGTGGTAATTATTCCAACTGATTCGTCAATAAAATAAATATTCATAACTAATATCATGTTTCATATCATGTTTAATTATTTTTTTTTTCCAATTTTTTGATAATTAAAAAATCTAGGGTTCATATATCACTGGAATAGTACGCTCACCAAGTATGGAAAAATTTTGAAATGTACTCAAACAAGGCGAAGTGTATGCAATCCGAGAGTATGATGTTGAATATAAACGAAGGAGGAACAATGCCCTTTTAACCAACCATTGGAAGCTTGTGCTTAATGGAGCGACTGAAGTATATAGCTACAATGGAAATTTTCCTCAATGCTAGCGAGATGCAAGAAACAGTTGTCGGATGGCTTTCTTAGGAATTTTATAATTTGAATTGATGATTTGTTGAATATTGGTATTATTTTTATTTCATGTCGTTTTGATCGATTGTGGATGCTTATTATAATTTGTCGAAAAAAATAATACTGTATTACTTCATTTACTATTATAATTTTTACGTATATCCATTTTTTTTGTTTATTGAAATGAAATAAAAATAACAAATTATATCACAAAGAATTTGCCAATCAATCGTCCATCGTGTGAAAAAAATCGTCCATCACGTTAAAGAGAAATATTTAAAATTATTTTATTGAAATGATTAAAAAATAACAAATTATATTAAAAATAACAAATTTTTAATTTAGATTTTATAAGATTATTGTAAACGTGTAAATTTAGATTTTACAAGGTCATCGTAAACATGTAAAAATAACAAATTATATTACAACTAAATTAATGGAATAACAAACGCAACAATTTCACGTGTAAATTTCTAAATTTTTGATTTAGATTTTAAAAGGTCATTGTAAACGTGTAAAATTCTAAATTTACACGATTGTATTTTATAATATCTTAACAAAATGTAAACTTTTGAGTAAAAATTGTCATCTGTTATACTAAAAGGCATGTAAAATTCTCATTCCTATGATACATATGTTTCCATATTAACATAGATATCATATCATATAATACATACTATGCCAAAAAAGGCTTCAGATAACGCTTTTTTTTTTTTTTTTTGCTATAGATAACACTTAAGAGCGCTATCGGAGTCAGTGTTATCTGAAGAACGATCTCTCAGATAACGCTTATAAAGCGTTATGTGAAGAATCTTTCACATAACATCTTTTTATATTAAGCGTTATGTGAGGAACCTTTCACATAACACTTTTTTATATTAAGCACTATGTAAAGAATCTTTCATATAACACTTTTTATATTAAGCGTTATCTACAATATTGATCAAATAACATTTTTAACAGAAGCGCTATCTGAGATGATGATAATTTATAACACTTCTCTAACCAAGTGTTATCTATGTGTATTTTTTTTATATGTTTTTTGTGCTTGTATTCATTAGCCCTCTGTTCTAGTAAACAAGAACCAACGACTTAAATCATAAACCCTATGAACCAAGAAGCAAAACCCAACGAGAAAACAACCAAAACATGAATACAACAAAAACTTACCAACACAATCCACAAATTTTAACATTGTACTAATGTATGTACAAGGGAATAATGTAGCACAAGAGAATCGTATCTCCAATTCCAATAAATCAAGAAAAAACAGCTAATATTCCTAGTAAAAACTTCGTCTACTATTAGTCGATATCCTGACAGAAAGTTTTGATGACATCCCCTGCATCGCGAAAGTTATACATATATTCATATCAAAGTCATTTCATCACCGATGACTAAGAAAGTTTTGATGACATCCCCCTACATCGCGAAAGTTATACATATATTGATATCAAAGTCATTTCATCACAACTTACAAACAATATATAAAAGAAATGTAATACGAGTATAATAAAAGACATACCTGTTAAGTACGAAAACGATGTGCATATATCTGCCAGACTTACACATTGAAAAGAATCATCTCAATCATTATCTATTAATTCTATTTCGTAATAGATTTGAAATTTAACACAACAATAACAACAAACGAAACGATACTAGTAGACTTTTTACCTTACACAACTGAAGAACATATTGTTCCCATTCTTTCCAACCATCATTTACTTGCTCCTCAGATAATTGAACGCACTTGTAACTATTTAAGTACTACAAAATATAACATTATTAATTAGAGTCTAACCAAAAGACCAAAAAATGAGTGCATAATAGAAAGACAAAAAAATGAGCTTAAAATAATAATCTGGTTGGCAATATGGAAAAATACATATCTTAGGAAAACAAAAAGTATTTTTCTCTCAATCAAAGGATTTGACATTCTTACCGTACATATTTTGAAAAATGTCTTGCACCAAGTTCACATCTAAATAGCAACATATTGTCATTAGTCTTCATCTCTCTCAACTTTGCAACAAATTTAGTGCTTCAGAAAACATGACCCGTGCATCTGTCATATTTATAAATTTAGAATTTTGTTCAATAAAGAAAAAATGATTGACTTAACAGAAAAGAATAATTCATCAACTATGCTTTCATCATACTAGTGACACGTAAAAGAGATAGTTACATGGAACAGTTCAACAACACCAGTCCAATATTTCCTCCATCCCAGAAGGACAGACCACATTTCAATTTAAAGCATCTAAAAAAGATAGTCCTAATGCCTCAAATGAAGTGTGACAACCAATCAATAGAATAACGTCGATCTGTATGTGAACCAATAAAATAACAACACTCTTTACTTTCCTACAACAGCGATTATGTTTTATTGAACCGCGTGACATTCGTCTTAAGAGGATAAAAGAAGTAGTAATAAACCAAGTGTAAAAAGTAGCAACTTCAAAAATAATTGACATTAATCCAGGGTATCTTTAGGCTAAGCTACTACTCTGCCAAGCAAAGATAATCAATGGTATGACTAATTATGAAATCATTTTTAGCAACTCTAATCACTAATGAAGAAAGAGAGATCGACACAAGAACACGAGAATATATTCTACAAGCAAAAATGTTAAATCAAATGGAATAAATACAATCTATAATACATACGGATCATATTCTTATTAAGAAAAGAAGAAGAATGTCGGCATCTTGTCAAACATGACACATCTCATACCCATACATGTATTCTAATAAAATTCATCCTTTGTTGATTCTTCAGTATTATAAGCAATTGAAAAAAAAATTAATAAAAAGGAGAAAATTTCATCAATATCCATCCAGCAACAAGTACCTTGTCTGTTAGAGGAACCCTTCCGTATGGAGATGATGGCTCAAAATATTGAAGGTAAAGATTACCCAGTCTTTCATTTGGACACGAGCTATTCTGCTCGATTACTCCTTCCTCAGAAGAACATCCATTTCCACCTCCACAACTTCTCGCATTCACTCTCCTCACTGAATGAATCACTAAACGAGCCCCTCATCTCTCTTACACACTCAGTTTCATACCTATTATCCAAAATACAAAAGTGAAGCCTCACACCACTCACATATCTCATGAAAATATACACTGATAATTATGCTTCATTAAACAAATAATGTAGCCACATTAAATTTTCCCAAGAATACCAATCAACCTGTACAAACTTAATCTTGAATTGTAAAATCACCAGCCAACTAGATTTTAAATATGAAAAAGAACAAAGGGGAAATTCACAATAACCAATACAAAAGATGAATTTTTCTTTTATTGGTCTTTGTGTGCTAGGGGAAATTCGTTAAGCTCCATGGTTCACTCACGTCCCAAATTAAGCATAGTTTACATTAAAAAAAAAAAGGAGGTGCGAAAACAACTAAAGGGAAAAACGAAAATAAACCTAAAAAAGTGGTGTGGTGAGCTAGAGGAGCAGTGTTCGTTCCATTTTTGTTATGATTTTCGGAGTCGTTTTATGTTTATTTGTCCCCCGTCTTAGGTGTTTCTATTTAGTTTAGAGTTCGTTTTCGTTAGTTTTTGTTTGCTCGATGTTTGTTATGTTTTCCCGTTTGTTCTTCTTTTTCTCCATGTTTTTCTTGTGTTTTGTGGTGTGTAGGTTCAATAGGTTGATCGACTTATCGGTGGAACGAGTTGGTATGCATCCAAGAAGGGAGAAAATCGGGTAAAGGAAGCGAAAACGGGACTGAAATCGCAAAGGATGAACTGCCGGAGAGAAGCAAAATCCCGCAGCCGCGGAACGCCGAGTCGCGGCCGCGGGAGATTCCGTCGCGGCCGCAGAGAAGAGAAAAATACAGTTTTTTTTTTATTTGGACATTTTGAGCTCGGAAGTGGAGTCTTGGTGGCCTAAAATCCGGATATCATGTTCCTAAGGGGGGAAAATGGTCTAGGAAAGTGGAGGGGCATGTTGATTGGTCTCCCCAAGACCCCCAAGACCAAGTTTTCATCATATCATTCACCATTACACACCATCTTCATCATCTTCTTCCTATCTTCATCTTCATCTTCATCTTCTTCTTCATTTTTTCATTTTTTTTAAGTGTTCATGTAATTTACTTGCTACTTTGGAAGACATTGTTATCTTGTTGAGCAAGGAGAAGACATTGGTTACTCTTGACATTGTGATTGTGATTAAATTCAAGTTCTTAGTAAGTTTTCTTTTTCTTTTGGCTATAGAGATGAATGCTTATTTTGAATTGATGGATTGTGCTTATTTTGTCATGAGTAGCTAATTTAATTGCTAGGGGAAGGGGATAATTAATCCGGTTTAATCTCGTGTATGTGATTGTGGTTAACTCAATTTCTTCGAGTTGTACTTATCATAATGATTGAATGCTTGATCACCATTGTAATCTAGTTAATCGATTTCAAAACCGAGAGGGGAGAAGTCGGTGGAATTAGGCTCGTCTAGAATAGGCGTAACCGGAGACGTATCGCCTATGTGTTAATTGTGTCGATTATTTGCTCGTTTATGTTTAATTTATCTACCGTGGAATACTATGATGATTGAATCGTTAAATGAGTTTTCGAGTCGATGCATTTATCCGAGTAATTATCATTCACTGAAGTTAGATTGAACCGGAGACGATTATCCCCGGTACCCCCTAGCTCGTTTGCATTTGGAGAGTCGTAATTTGCGTTGAATTTTGTTATTTACCTTGTTTAGCACTTGTCGTAATTTACTTGCTAGTTAACTATTCAAACCCTCAAAAAATTGGATTAGTGTGTTTAGGCGTAATTTATATTATCGTGTGATTGGATAACGAACAATAGTATCCGGCTAACCTTCCTTGAGAACACGACCCGGTGTCCGAATCTTTCGATTCTACTCCGGTAAAAACTTCAACAACAAAATGG